TTTAGCTCCTCCCAATGCCTGCTAGTCCCGTCTGTGTGTTAAAAACGCTCTTAACGCACGTCTGGCTGCGTCTTTTGAAGCTTCTACTTAGTCTGAAAATAGAAGTTTACCCTCCAGCTGGACGAACATGCATTTAAAGCTACAGTGAAATGGTTTTCTGTTATTATCCAGCAATGCAGGGCTACTAGAGACCTGCTTCAAACTCCTTCCTGTAATGAGGAGCTGCTTTGTTCTAGTCCTGCACACAGAATCACCATAGCATAGAATAGTGCTGGTTGTAATGTTGTAAAGTAGTGTATTTATACTGGTGAGGTCATAAAATGCTGGCAAACCCAGCGATGTGTGTAGATTTAAAGTGATCTGTTTCCCATCATAGAGCAGTGATAACTAGAATGTATGTGTGTAAGGCTCTACAGGTTCTGCAGGACCGAGGCTCTTCACCATCCATTTGATAGACGCCAACACAGAGAACCTCCCCAAAGCTCACACATGGTAAGGAGAGCCAAAAAGCTGTGGTTTGTTCTACGTTTGGTCGTAGTGACTAATGAAGGTTTTCTGTGTCCAGTTTTAACAGGATAGATATCCCTCCCTATGAGTCTTACGAGAAACTTTACGAGAAACTGCTGACAGCCGTGGAGGAGACCTGTGGCTTTGCCGTGGAGTGATGAATCCACCGCCAGGACAAAGACGCACACAGTCACACCTTGCTTGCACTTGCACACCAACTAAACAACGTTTTCCATATATGCACACATGAACTGGATTCTAAGTGTACTGCAGAGTATACAGAACAGCCAAGCATTACAAGAACACACGGCGCCTCTTGTCACCTCGGCTCCACCGAACCGACGGCGGTGAAACGAGGAAGCACAGCAGGAGGAGGGAGGGGTGGGATTTTAAAATTTTTCAGATATTTTCAAGAAGCATTTTTATTCTTCAGTTTTAACAAGCTATGATGTCACTCTGGAGAATGTGGAACCACGGCAAATTTGACTCAAGTGGCACCCGAGTCTCCGGGTACAATCAGCCAATCGCATTCGAGCCTGCGGACTCTGGATTGAGGCGTGCGGAGAACAAGGCGGGGAGCGATTGTCTCAGTAACGAGCTGATTGATTGACTAGTAGTCATGCTTCATGTTTAACCACTGATGCGTGTCTTTGTCTCCGTCTGCATGTGAGAGAGTGGGATTTTTGTATGTGTGTGTGTGTGTGTGTGTGTGTGCATGTGTGTCAAGCATGGCACTCAGTTACGCTGTAAAGATCATAAAATGAGCCTGGTCCTCCATTTGGTAACCTTTTTGTCTCTTCCGTTTGAACTTGTGACCACTCTGCTTCTTTCTGATGTTTTATTATTTATTACTAAATGATTACTGACCAAGCTGCTATATGCTCTGCAATGAGCCCTCACAATCGCAGCTCAACCTACCGGAGCTGAAGGGTCAATTCTCAAGCAATTCAAGTCATCCACAAAGTGGATTTTATTGAGCTCTGTTACTTTTAACATTCATGTTACTGTGGAGAAATACTCTCATGTTGTTGGTGTATTAAAACACCAAGTTACATTTTCTGACGTGCAAAGGAACAGGCTTTTCCCAGCTACAATTAGAGAAATAACACTAATCTGACATTTTTAATATATCAAAAGGTATGTCCTGCTATTTTATGGGTTATTATTATTGTTTTTAATAAGAATGAACCTCAAGATGCAAAAAAAAGCCACTTTGTTTGTAAAAAAAAAAAAAAAATCCCATAAACCTTTTTTAAATGTCTTTTAACGCCCATATTCCCGTCTTTTTAATTGTCTTAAAATAATGATTTCCTTTCTGCAGCCCTGAATGTTAGGAGTTTTCATCCTGTTTTAAGACCACAATGAATGAAAAGCTTTTCCACCATTTAAACTCCATAGAAGAGAATGAAATCAAATTTTACTGAGCAAGAAACAGGTGGGGGAGGGAGTTCTGTTGTAGATTGAAGACTGTTAAGCAGTGTTATTTCAATCTGCATTTTTTATGGTCTAATTTCACTGTGTAATGGATGCAAAAGTATTGTAACTTACAATGTACTAAACATTTATGAAAAAATACAATGTAAATAAGATTATATTAAAAGAAATTAAATTGAAAATAAAATACTGTTTATGTGTCATTATCTCTGCAAATAGCTACATTGTGTTGATGGATGGATGGAGAGATTGAGACATAGATACGTAGATAGATAGGTGAACCTAGAACTAGAGTTACAACCATCTCTTTGAAAAGGTAAGCCCATGTTTAGAGTCAAGTGTCTGAATTCATGTTTGAGCTAAATGTTTATCACATAATTTTCCATACAGAAGAAAAGACAAAATGAT